GAGAGACATTTGGAAGCAATTTGCGTCTGTTAATACCTGTATTATGGTAATTGTAATAATTATGGGTTAAACTGCGGGACCATTCGCAAGGTGCGTGCAGGCCATGTGGGGCACAGTTGTTTCTAGTTGATGTGCTGACTCCTTTCTCTCGCAACCTCCCTGTGTCTGTCACACAGTGGGACGACAGCAGGAGACAGCTGGGAAGTCAGGCTCAAGCAAGAAGCATGCCACTTTTTTGTATTGCTGGCTTTCGCATGACAGGGGAAAAAAAAAAACACTTGGAAAACAACAAATTGTGACATCATCATTGGACAGACGAACAGTGTGTTGACATATTTCATTGAGGTTTGCCCTGCTTTGACCTTAGAAATACAAATGCAACAGTAAAGGTTGAGTCACAATCTGGTACGACTTAACCTTTACGAGACCTTAAAGGTGGGTGGCAGATCACAACCCCATTTTACATACCTGTGTAAAACTTGGTAAAAGGAGTCCAAGCCAAATAAAATGTTTCTTCCAAATTGCTTCAAGTATTGATAATGAAAAAAAAACAACAACAACAGGCCTTTGGAATTAATTTTTCAATCTAACAAATTGCCAAAACAGCTACAACTTCAAGACCACCAATGCAACCTTATCGGCTCCCGAAGCCGAGTTTCGACTTTGTAAATACTAAACCCCAGCGGCCTGTAAAATGTTTTAAACAAGGTTTTTAAAGAGAACAGTTTATATAAACTATATTAGGGTTTGTGAGAAAATGAAAGAGGTAATTGTTCACATTCCAACAGTTTCAATATATAAACTATGTGACTATCAGCCATGAATAGCCCAGCTGTTAACAATTTTTGTTGCAGATAATAATCAAGTTACATGCAAAATAGCGTTCCTCCGACAGACATTAGACTACACCCTATGCTATATGGGATTCGAGACATTAAAAAAAATGGTTAGTTTAGTTTAAATAACCTTGGGAGAGAAAAAAGGAGACCTCCATTGCTGAATTTAACCATCTGATTTCAGGAATGTATTAAAGAGAGACATCTACAGCAGCCAAAAAAGATATTACTGACTGGGTCAACAGTAAATATTCTGCATACTACAATGAATGTTCTGCAGTTTTATCCCACACATGCATTGTGTTCCAATCTAAATTAATAAACAAATTTCACCCTGATTAAAGGCCAGTGGAAACTTAGAACAGGCTTCTGCTACAGAACAAGATGCAGAATTAACTTTGCAATCCTCAACGTATCAGCTTAATTCAACAGACCCTTTAAAAAAATGCTTTGCAACTGTATGTCAAATTTTGTGTATTTAGCTACATTAGAGAAGTAAAATCAAGATGCGTTATTATTTTTTTCTAACTTTCCAACAACATGTTCACAAACTACTGGAAGGAAGTTCCAAATATATCTCTTTTGCAATTATGTTCTCTTCAAAATTAGTAATTTGTTGTTTCTTTCACAATCCGAGACCCCAAAACAAATACCAACAAGTCTCTACAGTGTTTTTTTTTTGTTCTTCTTCTACTTCTTGAGGAAACACACAGGAGCTAATTTTAGCTGCCTGATCAAATTGACCCAGTCTTTAACCCTGGCAAACATTACCACAACACTCTTCCAATAGACAATAGTTTGCATACCAAGGGTATACTGGAAACAGATGTTCAAAAAGCATCAGGTCTGCTGGCTGGACAAAAGAAAAAGAAAAGAAATATTTCTTAAATGTTTGTGTGCTTTTTCTTCTTTATTGGAGAAATAAATAAGAGAAATGGGAGCTGTTGGAGGTGTAAACAGTTCCAATAAGTATCATCAGTCAAATAGATTTTGCAGAAATTCACTTGTCTGTTTTTGAAATTTTGTTGCACAACATTTCATTACAGTGAGACCACAATAACCAGGCTGCTGTGCCCCTATTAATTACTTGCTGTAATTGGTGACCTAATCCAGAAGCTATCTGTGCTACTGAAAGTAGCAAAATAATAAACAGTGACAGTGGGATGGACTGACATTCAGGCTGCTATACTGGAACATCTGTTAAACAAAGCTTATTTTAATCAAAACGTTCAAGCTGTATAAAATGGATTGTATACCCATACTTCTTCTGCCCTTAACAAACACAATAGGATAAAATAAAGACAAAAACAGTGGTAATAATAAAATAAATGTCTTTCCTTCTCTTTCAAGATATAATCTTGAAATATGCTTTATTTCTTTAATATGCTCTTGAAAAAAAACGGTTAAGTTTAAGCCAGTCAAGGTTATTTAGAGCAAACAAATATTTTAATGCATTCAATCCCATACATACAAAAATGAATGCTATTTCACATTTAGTTTAATTGTTACTAGGTTAGTTAACAAGTAAATAATCTATTAATAATCATGCATCAGGCACTTAGTTACAATAAGGTTATTTTTTTTGTTTTGCTTGTCTTTAATCACATTTTCATTTTTCATTACTGAACATGAACTTGTGAACTGATATGTCTTAAAATTTGAAAGAAGACCCCTCATTACTTAGTAAATGTACAAATTCAATTTACTTGAAAATGTAGAATATTAGTGATGAAGAATTTGTAATTTTATTTTAGGTTTATTATTTGAGGCTGATAAAGGTTCAGCCTAGGCTACTCTGGATTCCCGAGGACTGGCTTTTGTTGCTCAAGCCTGATGTGTTACTTATCCATCTGTGGGGCCTCATGCCATTTCTGCAGAACAAGTCCTGAAAATAAGGTTTCAGCCCACAAAAACCCTGGCATTGCAGAGGTGGCACTGTACATAAAGGACAGTTAACATACTCATGTTTGTAAGTTGATGTTCATCTACTGTCAATATACCTTTATTGTGTGGGCATTTATAAATATACTGTAAGGCTTGTTTTCTCCTTACATTTGTCCATTTTTTACTTGGTGTGTATCCCACTATGCATGTGTTTTTACTGTAAATGTCTGTCAATATTATGCTAATTGGAATGCTTTTGAAACACTGTGATCATTCAGTCATGCCAATACGGCGCCTCAACACTTTGAATTTGACTTGTGCAGATTTCCTGCTTTCCTGTTCTTTAGACCCAAAGTCTTCTTCCATGGTTGTATTTTTTTTTCTCATGGAAGTTTTTTGCCCCAATTGCACACATGCATGACGACTTTCACTTTATAATAAGTACTAACAGGAGATGTTACAACATCTTAAAACCTAATATATACAATACAGGCAACACCTTAGTTTTTTGTGTAAATTAAAAACAGTGTCTAAGCAATCTATGGATGTGCTATTAAACACATAAAAAATCATTAAATATTTCATAACACTAACCATATGATTCTGGCTGTGGTTAGAATTAAGGTTTTGTTCTTAATCAACACTAAACATTGCGTATAATAATATTTATCTCAGTCTTGTAATAGGTAAATAGAAATATGAGAAAATAAATTTTCCTTTATGAAGCATTATTAAATGCCTGTTATCTTCTCAGGAGTTAGAACAGTCAGAAAAAAAAGAAAAAAGTGTCTCTTCTGTGGACACTAAACACTTAAAGGCAGCACAGCCTTTTATACTGTATATGAAGTTGGCTGATCAAAGCTCCTACTGTAGGTAATAGAGATAGTGACCAAATAAGAGTGAGTGGCAGAAATGACTGACAGGAACCCTCTGCATGCGGTCACACACACTTGGGCTCCATTCCAGGAGAAAAAACGAGAGCTCATCGAAACTGGATGCAATTATCCAACACAGGCAGAACAACCCTGTAGCACTGAGTGCAAAACAACATACGGGCCTTCTGCTAATAGCACCTTGGAGGTTCGGCACAGATGGATGGAGGAGATGTTATCAGGGTGCCCAAGCCTGCTAAAAGGCGTGGCAGAGACGCGCACCAAAGCAAGCCGCGGTCTCTACTCAGCGTGCTTCTGTTGTGATCGGAGCTGCAAGCTCTTGGCAGCAAGTACATAGCTCCACCCCTGCATGGGAGAGAAAGCCTCTTGAATGCATAGCAGAGTGAGCCACTCCGGGCTTTACAAAATGCTCTGAACCAGTCACAGTGTTCGCTGTGACTGATACTGCCTAAAACAAAACTACCTTTTCCTGCACCACAGCTCCTTCACGGAGAAAACTGGAATACTTACATCATAACAACAAAAGCAGCTCTTTAAGAGCTATCAACATTTGTTCCCAAGGAGGAGACAGGTCTTGCATTTTTGCATTAGAGCATGAAATGAACAAAAAAACACAAAAGTCAAAACAAAACCTACCTCTAAAAATAGTTTTAAGAAAAGCATATAATGTTGGTTATATCTTCTCTAATGAAGATAAGCATGAAACCTAATTGTGTTGCTGATGAAGATTAAGGTCTCCCCAAGGTGAAATCTTTATATTTTCTCTAAGACGTTAAAAGATACGGTGTTGCTGTCAATCAGAATTCCACCCAATTCTGCATCCAAATACGGGCCAGTTACAGTAGGTGAAGTCCAGTGGACTACATCATGCTTGAAGCAGGATTATTTTAAAAGATGTGTGCCGTATGAATATCTGATACAGTATGTCCAAAAAAGCAAGCAGCTCCAATGCTGTGCGTGTTGAAAAGAACAGGCTCTTCCTCCTGCCCTGTCAAAACAGGTGCGGCTTCAGCGGGGATTATCTGTCCTCATCTCCACGTTTCTACCATTTGTCTTGCAAAGAATGTACTTATATAAAAGAAGAACAACCCGGTATCTTCACCTCCCAGCAGCAGCTGAGAAACAGGTCAGCTCCACTGGATCAGGGGATCAGTGCACGGTTACAGAACTCAATACTGCAAGAGATAAGAAGGAGTCAAAGTACCTCGGTGGGGCTTTGGAGGGTAGGAAAGGTAAACAAAGTCTCCAGTGTGAAAAATGACACCTTTGGTGGGAAGGTGTGTGTGCGTGTGCTGGGGAGGGGGGGAGGCGGGGGTCCCTATCGTATACCGCCTGCTGCTCATAGAAACTTGACATTCAGGCTTGCCCACAGAAGCAGGGGCACAGGATGGAGGCTCTCGAAGATGACATAGCAAAGGGGGGTCACGAATGGGCTGGCAGCTCCTGCAGCACCAGGCTCAGGCTGATCCACCACAGAGGGCAGAAAAACTGCTGGCGCCGCCAGGGCCGCAGGTCTGGGTCACTCCACAGCTGAACACACGAAATGCTATGCCACTGGGGGGCGGGGCAGAAGGCGAGGAGTGGTATGAGCGTCTGCAGCCATCAATCACGATGGCGAGAAGAGACGGGAGGCAGCCTCAAGCTGGCTTTTTCGCTGCCCCTGCCGATCCCTGGATTGACTTCGCTGTTAAGGGGGAGGCACTGCGACAATACTGAAGGCATCAAATATCTCCTCGGCCTGGAGAAGGAAAGCTTGTCTAAGAGGTGTCACGGTGAAACACGAGATGGGACATGCAGATGCGCCTGGGACAAAAGAGGAGTAATTCACAATTTACCGGCACGAGACAGAGAAGGCTGGAGAATGTTAAAAAACAAAGAAATACCACTTCAGGTGAGAGGCCCGTGAAATGTGATGCCCAACTGGAAACTTTTAAGCAAGGCAGCTAAGAGATGACTGGCTTTTCCGGTTAAAACTGAAGTCTCTTTGTCCTTACTACTTGAAAGGCAAACAAGATAATGTGTGTTTAAATAAGATGGCCACAAATTATGTGGATAAAAAGTGTTAATTAATTGTAGTAATCACACTTCATCTTTGACATTTTGTAAGAAACAAATGTGTGAGCTAAAGACGTACGTTAAGGTAGAGGATTGCTTGAGTATGATTCCAATTTTCCTATGTCGTTTTAGTTATGGTGTCCTTACTCATTGTCATTGCTTTATTCATTTTTCATGCACTTGTTCTGTTCACGTTGAAGAGTCTGAACAAGCGCAGTCTCCAAGTGGCTGAATACAGTATGTTGACAATTCTTGGACATGATTATAATTTGAGTGCTGATATGAATTGTACTAAAACATCAGACACAGAGGCATATAAAATAATGACAATTTTAGCACAGCTCTTTTCCTCAGAGAAAATGCTTTTAAGAATGTTGATTAATTAGATATCTTTTATGTTTTAAGAGAAACAATAGATTATTAGACTTTAAAATTCATATAATACCTACAGGGCTTCGAAAAAAAATGGTATCTCTCAAGTACATTTATTTCCTTTTCATATTAATTAACCGCCTTAAAAATGAATTTTGTGTGGTAATCATTTTTACTGTTTTAAGTAACAAAATTAATTACCCTCTCTAATTTCCCAGCAAATCAGCTTTTCCAAAGTTAGACAGCCTGCCATCAAAGGCACCTGCACTCTCACAGGCTGAGGGATGTGGACTGAGGCTGGTTCCCATGGACTGAGTGCACCTCCTAAGGTAGGACAGAGATCTACAGTACGCACTGCAGCTCCACCCTCTAAGACTAGGAAGCCAGCTAACACATGCTGCTCTGACTTTGCATGAATAAGATCTCAAGACGTATCAAGAAGGGGGGACATCGTTCAGGGTTTTGGTTTCCTGTGAACAACTGCAAACAGTCCTTGCCAAGCAAAATTTATGGTCTTTCCTTACATTTCTGGGTGCCAGTAAATGGATGTTTTCTACAGTGGTGGAGGGCAGATTTAAGACATAGCAGTGTTGGCAGATAAGGGTCTTGGTGGATGTAAAAAACACTTCTAATATCACTTTTAGATTTCCAGTTATGATCAAGGAGTATTTCCTAAGACATGGGCATAATCTTGCCCAAAGAATTTAATTAGTGAACAATCATTTCCTCAGTATCTTTTCGCCACTGAGAGATAGGAATCATTGGACCCCAATTAAAAGTCTCTGTATTCCACACAGGAGACTGAATGTCAGAGATTAATGTTACCTCTAGGCTTATGCACATGGCAAATATGTTTTAAATCTAAAACAATGTGCACAGAAATACTTTTTTTAATTCAGTGCCTGATCTACATTTCCATATTCGTATTATACAAATTATCTTTATAAGCATTTTAAATGTATGAGACTGCAAAATTTTATGTCGTATGTCCTGCGTTGTTGTCATAAACATTAAATAATAATTTATTATTTTCTGGACACTCCACTCAAAGCGCTCTACAGATAATGGGGAATCCCCTCCACCACCACCAGTGTGCCACCTGGATGATGTGACAGAACTCAGAGTGCACCAGAACTCTGACCACACACCAGCTCTCAGTGGGAAGGAGAATACAGTGATGAAGCCAATTCATAGATGGGGATTATTAGGAGGCCATGGTTGGTAAAGGCCAGGATGCTGGGGTAACACTACCATTGTTTTTGAGAAACTCCCTGGGATTTTTAATGACCACAGAGAGTCAGGACCTTGGTTTTACATCTCATCCGAAGGACTGCGCCTTTTTACAGTATAGTGTTCTTATCATTATACTGGGGCATTAGGACCCACATTTCCTTTACCTGCAACCTAATAAAATGACAAAAGAGCATCAAAACTAGAAAATTACAAGTGAAGCTTTGAATACTTAAAGAGGAAGACCCAGCCTTCCACATTTCATGATGACCCAGTGAAAAAGTATTGTAGAATTTAAATACAATCATCACGTTCTTTCGCAAGACAGCAAAAGTATCAATTTTGTCAATGGTGGTCAAGTAGTTGTCTTGGCATACATAGGAACCGCTACTTCACAATATGTCAATTGCAGATTACAATTATAAAGATATATCCGTATTAGAATTGCATTTATGTAAGTATTACATGTAGTAATACTACAAAGTTTTAGTAATCTATTATAGCAATTGCACTATCACTTCAACAATGTCAACCAATTCACAAACCATACATTTATAGGAGAGCATTAAGTGACTCATGGTGGTTTTGTTTTGTTTAATGTAGCAACTTGTCTTGAACAGTTTTGAAATAAAACCTATCCTAAGTTCTAATCAGCCAACTAGTTTCAGAGAAGAAGCTATTTGGAAGTTTTTTGCCAGACCATGTGATCACTAGATTGGTGCTAAACATACAGTATGTACAGTATATCTTTAACACAACATGATACTCTTTATCAGACTTTCTATATTACAACTGGTTTTGCTGAACAAAAAGTTATAAAATTCCTGACATTATGTGAAAAATTCAATATGGTGGTTGAGCTCTTAGACCTACTGTATTAGCTTCATTTTCATCCAGAAACAACCTCCTTTATGCCTTTAAAATTCTGCCAAGTTTCATGATTCTTTGTCCAGAACTTTCACTTTTATGAGCATTTGGAAAGTCCCGCAGAAACACAACAATTTTGAGAGTTGCCCAATAGTTTAGTTGCTCGGTCCCCTAACAATCCGAACAAGGACAATAGATTTCCTGTTTGGAAGACTAATAATCAGAACTTTCTCTAAGAGTCACGATAGTCACACATTAGACCTTGTGCAAGGTTTTATCATTGCATGCAAAAACATTTCCTTAGGATTTGGGTTTGAATTGGTTTTCTCTTATTTATACTGTCATTACATTACTTTTTTTGTACACAATGGCTGGTGTACTGTTTCTCAGAAAACAAATTGTATATTTAATCTGTCATCTGAATTTACATAGGGCATGAAATTTGGAGAAATTGTAATAGAAGGCAGCACTGTTCTTTTGCCCTACTTCACACAGCTGCATGAAGTCCTTTAGGCAGAACTTCATTTGTCAGATACCAATGGGAACTAACACGTTAAATCAGTGCCATGTACCCTGGCAGAAAGACAGAGCTCTTTTATTCCTACAGCTCTAGCGAATGCCTTGCTGTTGGAGCTTGAGGAGAACAGAACAAGGTCGGAACTTCATGCTTAAGAAACACGTAGACTTTAACATTCTCCTTACCTGTAGGGCTCCAATTATACTCCATGAAACTCGACATTCTAAGGCAGCTGCATGAAAACAACTCACATTTGTTACAGAGGCCAAGTTCTAATTACATGGATGATGAGAAATCAGGTTCAACTGACGTGTCTTATTTGATTCCAGAAATGTTACTGGAGCTGATCTTCTGGTATAAATTTTAAGTAAAATTCTAGAAGGGGCCAGGAAAAAAAACTGGCCCCCATGCTTCGTAATAATCACTATTAACGCTGTCTGTAGTAGTACTTCTACTGACAGTCTATAAAGAATCACTGTAATACATGAAACTGCACTTTGATTTGCTGCTTTCCATCTTCTTGACCCACATGGGCTTTCCATGCTGAATTTTTACAGCCCCTTGAGACAGTGAGAAGGTTACAGCTGTGTTAGAGGGAACAGGTTAGGAGTGCTATGCAGTCACTGCTTTTGGGTTTGTTCTACACTTTTTTAGTGCCGTTATCCAGATATCTGGAGAACTACAGTGGTCATAACTCAGTGCTGTGCCTCTCACTCAGTTCTTCATTCCTAGTTTCCTCATTATATAAAATGAAAGCATGTCTGTCACATAAACATTTCTAAATGGTGCTACGCTCGATTTTACCCCTTGAATTCTTCCACATGGGTCCATTCATACAGAAGTACTCTAAAATACGTTGGGTTGTTTCTCTCTCTCTATATATATATATCTTTGGTTATTATCCAAATTCAGACTGGTTATTTTTATATTTTAGGTATATATATATACAGTATAAAGGTTACTGAAGAGTGGTTTTATTGTTTTAAGGAATCAAAACAGTTCGCCCACATTCAAAAGCTCACTTGGCCCACCATTGTTTAAATAAAACACTTTCTTTAGAACAGAAATGAAATGCATATCACAGAACTCCTTGCTTTGCTCTGAGAATTTTATTTAATATGTTGTTTTTTCCATCGGATTTTGCTCCTACCATCCTATAAAAATTAACACTTACAAACTTTAAACAAATATTTAATAAAACACAGAGTCCAATATACACTTATTTTAAATAAATGCAGGTTCACTGCAAAAACGCAGTGGCCACCAGTAAAAACTTCAGTCTTCAATCAACACAAAAAGTATAATCTGCTGTATGAAACAAACCAAAACTACTTCATGAGTTTGTCACCGTTTGCAATGCTAACAACAACAACAACAACTACAACTACTACTACTACTACTAGTAGTAGTAGTCTCCTCTTTACAAGTGCAGCACCTGTATCACATAAATCTACCATTTTAAAACTGCAGTTTTAATAACCATCACAGAAGAAAAGGTAAATGAAAAAGAATGGCTACTGCAGAGCGCTATAATGAGAGCCAGCTGTAAACAGATGTGCACATCCCTGGAGGAGCATATCGTTAAGAGCTCTGCACCACGGAAAGGCTGGCAGGCACATACTGTAATAAATCTGGGACAGAGAGTTTGATTTAATTTGGAATGGGCTGAAACAAGCAAATTACCTTTTGATTAGTGAAAAATTATTCTTACATACAGCACGCATTATGTCTGCTCTCTGCACAGTTGTTCAGCAGCTTTCAAATTGGAAAAGGTAGGCACAATTCAGGCTTATCTCCTGAGTTTGTTCCAGTACACATGGGCTTTTCTTGACTATTTACAAAAAGCTTAAAGTGCTGCACATTTTCTGTGCATCTTTTATAATAAAGCTGAGTATTGCAAAGGGTTAGTTCATTATGATGTACATTATCTTATTTGTTTCCATACAATCAAGATCTGTATAAAAAAACAAATGCCGACCCAACTGGGTGACTGGGGCAAAAATACTGTGAAGGATCCATCAGAACATGTTGTTAAGATGTGGCACTGAACCAAACAAAAAAAAAATGGCTAATCCAATGTTTGGTTTGCTCAGAAGAAAACGTATACAGAACAGTTAGAAAGAAAGTTCTAGTGTGTAAGAAGATTTGGTTTAATTCAGTTTGGACAGTAAGGGTAAGAAGAAAGGCAACAAGTCGACATTTTCTGGTGCTCAAAGAACAGAAATGCAAACTATCATGGAAGTTTTATCCTTGACTGAAAAGTAGTTTGATCTCCTTTGGCATAAAACCTTGGGATAAAAATCACACCAAAAGAGAAGGCACTCTCGCAAGTGGCATGAACGTAGTTTACTCTTGTCACATTCTAGGAAAATAAAAAAAAGACTTGAGGAAAATAAGGAATGGAGCCTTGTATGACAAATTAAGCACTGAAGGATGTAATACAACACACTATTAATAATGTTCTTTAATCACAAGGTATAGGAGAGAAGCGTTTGAGTGCATGAGCAATGGATCCCGATGTGACAGAGGTTGAAGGGTTAAAAATTAGAAGCTGTCCTCGGCAGATTGTGCTGAAACCTTCCTGTTGGGAGTTCCTTTGAGAATGAGTGGGAAAGGAACAGTATAAATAGCTGCAGAATTTTTTTTTGCACTTTCCCACAGGTCTGGGCAGGATCTCCAGTTTAGCTCAGAAAGGGCGACCTGAATCCAAAGAAGACTTTGGAAACTGGGGGCCCCACACAAAGAGGAAACCGGAGGGGCTGAGATGCAGAGCCTCGTTGAAACCATACTCCAGAGTCCCTCATTGCACTCATGTTCTCTTTTTGCCTTCTCTGACCCAAACCCTCAGAGCGGGCTGCTGACTGTGTGGGCCTCATACAGACGGAAGAAAACAACTGAGGAATTAGTGGCGCAGACTTGCATTTCCATTACTTATTAAAAAATAAAGCACACGCAAAGTATTCAATACTTGAACTTTACTTGAGTGCATTCCTTCATTACTGTACCGCTAACAATGCTGTACTGTTATTCTGACAGGGCTATTTAATATGTTTTGAAACATGAAATGTTTCATATTGTGTTTTACTCATTTGCTTGCATGACGATCTGCTATTAAATATCTGTTATGCTGATGGATACATCGCAGTTCCCATGAGGAATTTTATTGGGCATAGTAATTTCCCTTTTTCATCTTCTCCTGCGGTGGGATGCTGAAGTACCCTAGTCTGAGGAATGCTCAGAGAGTTCACAGGATAAAAGCCACAACTTCCTGCAGACACAGGAAGCAGTTATTTAAAACTGCTATACTTTTATAGTGAAATCTCTGAACTGCATTTTCTCAAGTATTAAAAAAAAAACTAATTACAACAAACAAAAGACTACAAAGAAAGAAGAGATATAAAAAACTAAACCTAAATTAAATATTTATAGTCATGGACTGGCAATATAGATTTCTGATGATATAATTTTTAACACAGGGTCTAGAAAACACTTAAAAGCTTTATGTGTAAGGAGAAAAATAACACCGTTTGTTCTTTTCGCTTTTTTGTAATACCTTAGGTCATTTTAATAAAATGCAGATTTGGGAATTTCCCACAGGGAGTGTGACCCTTCTGATATCCAAATTTGCTCATTGATGTTGAACATCCTATAAAGCATAAGCTTCTACAGGTATTTGACATTTATAACAAACACCATTTGACTTCACTACGTGTCCAAGCACATTAATTCAGATTTATGACATCCAGAGAGCAAAAGGAATGGCCAAATACAGCAAAGCTATCCACTTCACATTATCATTACTTGTTACACTCGAAATGTAACAGAGAGATTGTGTGCATGTGTTTCTCTCTTCCACAACTATGTTAAACGATAGTAAACCACCTACAATTACAAGGCTGATCCCTAACCCCTAAAAGGTGGTAATCCAAAATGGGTTGTAAACTGTCAGACCTATTTCCCTCAGGTGAAATATATCTTGGGCTCAATTATGAGTCATTCAACATGGTGTACGTACTGAACCTGGCTCAGGCACATTTGACATTTCACCTCTGCCCCGTAAATATTTACCAGCTATTAAACTGGTCATGTATTATTATCCAATCAAACACATGACTTAAAAGACTATGCAAGGTAATCTGAAAATAAGAAAGAGGTGGGCTGGGGACTCGTGAAAATGGCCACAAAATAAAAGAGTAGGTTCTTCTTTTTCTTTCCTTTCACCGGGGAACAATATTTGTTTTCCATAAGGTACTAAAGATATAAGGGCGTGAACTAGCTTCAAACAAAGCAGCATTCTCAGCAATATTCAAAAAAGTGACTAAAACCAGTGACCGGGTACAAGTGAAATATACAGAATTAGTTTTGTACTGGTGAATGAGACGTTCAGTGCTGGTCACTGAAATTGCTGATCGTCAGAACATGAGGAGATTTTCCAAAAGAAATAAGTGCAGCTGCTGCTCACTTACTCTGAAGGGCTATAACTTGCATATTACATACGTCCATCCAAAAAAGGATGTTAGTTGCCTTGTCATGTTTTCTAAAGACGTACGCCAATCAATGCTACCTCTAATGCTAACCACTAATTTTTAATGGCCCGTGTGTGGAAAAACTTCAAGTTGCGCGAATTTTTTCCCCAGTGACAAAAACTTGTGCGCACTAAATTGAGTGTTTGTAAAATTGTAAACCTGAAATTATTTTGTATTAATATAGTCATTCTCATAGAAGCATAGCGATCCAAAAGACCAGGGCAGCGATTCCACGAGCCCAGTCATAGAGACTGAGTGTCGAGCGAGCAGGAGCAGGGAGGTACGAGACTAGGAGAGCAGAGGTATTGATGATCCAGCAGCAGCAATAATGCACACACCCAAGGTGGGCCTCTCGCAGCCTGTCTCGTGGTCAGTTTATTGTCTCGTGGTTTGTTTTATTATTATCATATCTTTTTGAGAATTTAATTTTTTGTGCGCAGTTCAATTTCCTATGTGCACTGCTTTCATAACCTATGCGCGTATGCACATGCGCACAGCTTAGAGGGAACATTGATGCCATTCCTTTTTATAAGTCAACATTGGATTTTCAGCACAATCAATACTTGAAGCCAAATCCTTTACCACACATAAAAGTGGAGGAAAGTCCTCGGCTCAGAGAACACAGGTTAAGTAGTTCACACAGCACGAAAACCACCTTCTGTTGTTAAAGAGTTACAGGAATGCTAACCTGAATATTTCAGAGAGAGACACACGTACCACTAAAGCAGAAAGATTCCCCTTCTACTATTTTCAGATATTCACTTCAGATATTCTTTCGTCACCTCCACAGCCTCAGCTAGTAAGGGTGTCAAAGGCAGAAAAAGAAAGTTCCTGGAAACAGTAGTTCTTTAACTAAAGGAATAAAATATTCCAGTATCACCTGACGGGAATGTTTTCTTTTCTTTTTTTTTTGCAAAATGGACTTTGGAATACACATCCATGCACCTGTTAATCCTGCCTCAGGGCAAACAGCTACAGACTCCTCAGCTATTTCCTCTGCTCAGGGGGAACCGAGAAACACGTGAGCCCACAGGATTTGCGTCTTCAAGGCCCCGGGATTCACTGACTCCAGGACTGGACACAGGGGTCAGGCTTGGAGGCTCATACGCTCAGAAACAAAGACCTGGGAGCAAAGGCTCCTCGCCGGGCAAGAGTTCACTTCATTTATCTACGCAATCTATTCCAGACATGGTAAATGACAGGTTATTGGATCCAGACCTGACACGGCTTTGTATATATTACATTACCACGACCAGCCTCACTTAAGCATCATTACCTTCTCCTCAGAAATATAGTTATTACACAGAGCTGCTCACAGAGGGTGCTTTTCCCAGCTGGCACTCAACTGGCTTTTGTTCTGCCCTGCTCCTCTCCTAATTCCTCTTTCTGCTGTGGGAATTATTAAGCATAACAAGCCGACATGCCTGCTGCAGAACACCCAAGTTGCTTCCACTCAAAGGGATTTTCAGGAGCATATGAAAAACACAGAGCAATCCCCGAGAAGAAATAACCATGCACAACCACGAATGTGGTGGTGAGCAGGCGGACTATGCTCTGCGGAAGCATATGCATTAGTCACTGGCACAACTTAGTAGAGCTGCCACAGAAAATCAAGGTCTAAACCTGGACACCTGCACCTTAAAATGTCTTCTTTTGCCCTTTCTTATTTACTATTTCAACCATTTGCCAAGCCTTCCAAACACAGGAGCTTGTATAGTTATACAGTATTTGTCTGCTCTTTGTTATTGACTAAGGATTCTGCTTATTTCAGCACCTAGATTACGCTGATAAAGACAAGTGGTAAGCACGAGCTGGACTGTGGTAACTATACATCCTTCAAATGACAAACTGGAAATGGCCTGTCTGTTGGATGGCGCCCTCTCTTGTTCCTACTCTTCCATCAGAAAGGTTAAGACATGATGGAGCTGCTTACCGAGCTTAACAATACCTCCAAGAATCGGAAAAGGAAAGATTTCCCCCAAAAATGATAATACGCAACTCAGTCCGCATCTTACAAACCAGATTCTCCTGGAAAGCAGCATTAAAAGGCTCAATGCACCATCATTCACCCCACTCTCATGGACTTAGACTGTATGTAGTGCCTATCACGATCACAGGGGATCAGTATTATTTCATCATCTGCTAGGTCCCAATTTAGATAACCCAGCATGAGAAATATTAGACTGCAATCCAGACACATGCCTATGGACGCTGGTGAATTACAAGAAAATTATTTTATGAAATGACGCCACACTTGCAGCTCAGATAGCTCTGCCTCCTTGTAATTTACTGCTCCTAAGCCACGTATCCTTTTTATGTTGTACGAACAGGAGAAGCTTCTCCCCCAGCTGTGTGGTGTAATCAGATTGCGCATGTTGCTATTTTCTGACGAGCGAGCAATGCGATGGCAAATGGGAATATAGATGTCTCGTGCAACCCTGTCACCTGCCAACACAAGGTCAGGGAGGCAAATCCAGCAGAGACTGGAAACACATTCGACCAGGGGGACCTGCTACCCCACAGTCTGGAGAGCTGGTGTATTGTTAAGCAAAATTACATGCTGCAGATGCAACAGCTGCTTAACGGAATATCAAGGCGGAATTGCTTGGCTTGTGAGACACTCTAAATATGCAGAGCCCTCATGCTGAAAAGAGAGCAGGAAGCTCCAAACCACGACATGTCTCAGATGAACGTGCTCGGGTGTCACTAGCTGCTACGTGGGGCAGGGCGGTTACACTAAGGTCATGATCCGATGCCATCACACGCAAAGCACAGATTCTCCAGAATTGATTTTTAAAATGGTTAAAACAAAAAAAGAATGTTTTAACAGAATCATGCTATTTCACAAGAAACATTAATAGCTGCATTTTTTTTATCTCTGGTATCCTTTTCTAAAAGGGGGGTTTAAGAACATGGTTCTGACATTTTCTTAAGGTAACATAAGAAAGCAACAACAATAATCAGAAATTATTGCAAGAGAATCTGAAGACTATTTGGGTCATGTTTCTATTAGTGTCTTATATTTATTTCCAGAAAAAAGTGTAGCACTTTTATCTGTAGTTATACTTCAGTTTTTCAATATTGAGTTTTTATTGCTCAATATTGTGTGGAAACTTGTAAGAGTCAGAGGCAGCCGTCGCAGAAGTCAGAGGTTCTCAATGACAGTGAGAACTATTGAGTAGTTAGGACTCCCAGGTGATGAGTTACTGTGTAAGCACTGATGAGGAAGGCAACTAATTCAAAAAGGCCTTTTCCACACTGAGGTGAACCGCTGCAGCAGACCTGCAATGCAATGTGGTTTCACCCTCTGAAGGGTTTTTCTGTTTCCTACACCATGTTTCCTGGAGACGTCGGCATAGGCATGTTGACATGGTTGCGTTCCTGTGTATTCTGTTTGTTTGTGTAGCTTGCGTGTTATTTTGTCTGACAGGCTCCTTTATTTTCGATTTCATAACAGGAAACCCAACATATTTCAACAGGACTGAAGCACAAAGTGCCGAAAGGCACTAGATTTGAGGTAATTGCGTTATGTCTAAGTCAGATTCAGCACTGCCTCCTGCCTTCCAGCACAATCACTGGGTGTCTTGCACAATGGAATGT